AAAAAAAGTTTTTAATTTGAGGAAAAAAAGCCAATTTAAACGGTTAAATAATGATATTTATTACAAAGATCATAACCGTTACGGTCCCTGGTATTTTTTCAGTGGTCAAAAATTATTTTGTGAGAGTCAGAAAGTAGAACAGCTGTTATGATTTAATTAGCAAATTATGCACTGAGACGCCCTAACTGACATACATACTTATTAAAAATACATACATATGTACGTTGTATAGCGATAATCACCGTTAAAAAAAATCGTGTATATAAAATCTTTGAAAACAACTAATATTCTGCACGTACAGTGTCAATGCATAACAAAACGGCCAAGCCATTTTTAAGCAATCATTTTCAGCCAAAAAATTTGTGAAGCCCATACCCACCTACAAACATACATACAGATATACGTCGCTACATTAGTTTGCTATAATCTACGGGGAACTCCCAGCAATCGCTTTTCGACACTAATTGGATTTGTATTAGAATTCCCATCTCATACTTGCCTCTACGAATACATACATACATACAAAAATATTTTTGGTTTAACATCTTGTCGACTCTCGCTTCCGTCTGCTTTAAGATTTCACTGTCGAGCTGTTTATTTAGTTTCGTTTAATTTATTTTTTTCGCTTAATCATTATATGAGTATATATGTACATACTTTTGTTGTAAAGATGCGAAATATGTATGACTATATAGTACTTATTTATTTAAGTAAGCAGAATAAGAAAAATTCACACTAGCAAGCGAATAGATATAAATATATTAATCAGCATTTTGACATAGACGTTTGGCAATAGAAAAAACTGATTATGGAGAAAACTGGTAGTTTTTGTTATTAACTATTTAGTGCGTCATCTTTTGTGTGAGCAACTCAAGATATAATCACCAGAGTACACAGCGGAAAATACATGGCTAAAATAGTTTGATTTTAAGTTTGCGAATGCGAGTTAACTTTTATCTTTTTGTGCCGGTATGTCAGTTGTTTGTTATGTACATATACAGTGACTTAAAAAATTGCCACGTGTTATTTTTTTGTTTTTATTTTTTTTTTTTATCTATAAACTACATCCCCTTACTACAACTACCATGCAAGCTTTAACCAAAAACATATAAATCACAGTCTCAAACTTTAAACAAAATTTAGGAAAATTCAACAAATTTTCATCAAAACTTCAACTTTTTAATTTAAATCTTTTGGAAAAAAAAATCCGTTGATTTTTGAGACGTTTTTGGTGACGGATTTTTGCACTTTTTTCATATAAGCATGAATTTCTTTTGAAATAAAATGCGGGAGACCGTTAGCAACAAAATTTAGAAAAATCAACGACAGTTTTTATAAATTAAACCTGTTATAAAAAAAACCTGCAAAATCTATCTCCAAAAAAGTCTAAAAAATCAATGCGAATACGAATATATAAAAAAATCAACACGCGGTCATTTGTTTTAGTCACTGTATATGTATTTGAACTTTTTTCAGTTTTACAAGTTTTTAGCTACCTCCGTTAATTTAAAGTTAAGCTCACAACGTGATCTTTGGCTTCCTTCAGCGTTTTGCATAAACTGTATTGGATCACCGCCGATTTTCTGTTATAAATTAAAAGCAAAAAAATTTGTCGAAATGATATTTTTTTAATAATTTCTCAACATACCAGTACCCTTCTAGCTCTATAACTTTAGTCTAGTAATTTCCAATTATTTTACCCCTTCCAAATAGAAGCTTTATTCAAGGTCCTAAATAGATATTTGCTTCAGCGATGAGCTCTTCCTTCGACCCGAATTCCTTACCGCTCCGCAATTTCCTCCGGCTTGTAAGCAGAAAATTGCAGTTGGAATAGCAGGGCATAGCTGAATTTATTTTCTTCCTTTTTTCCATTGCCATCGAATTTTACTGTCTGTTTCAGTGGCTGTCGAACATGAATTTATAGCAAGCATAGTTACAATTTTTACAGTACTACGCCCGTTGGTCAAATTAAAAGTTCCCGCACGGGAAGTGTAAAAAGTATCTGATTAATGAAACTATTCTCATAGTTTTCTTTAAATTCATGTCAATAATATTTATAATTTTTTTGTTTACAGACTCTTCGATAGCCACATCTACGACAATTTTCCAATACAGCTAACTCATTTTGAAAAGGTAAGTGTGCATAAAATGTTATGTATTTTAGAAATTTTTTAATTTGGGTTAATTAATTTAAATTTTACTTAAATGAAAAGAATGCAACTACCACGTTTTCTACAGCCGAGAAATTTTGCACGAAATTTCTTTTTATCAGTTGCCAAATTTCATTTACTAATGTGCGTAGTAGCAAATATACATACATATCTAAATATATGAAGGTTGATTCAATAAGATCGTCGATTTTCTTTTGTAAATAAAATACAAAAAAAGAATTTTTAAAATTTTATTTTATGTTTTATAACCGTTAAATGTCCACCGCGACTCCTCTGGCACCACAGAATGCAAATTTCAAAATTGTCTATGATTTTTTCTATAGATTTTGAGTTCAGCTCAATCAAACTGATGTACAAATTGTGTGATCCCTGCTTAAGCGTATGCTATACTCTTTACCTAGCCCCAGAGAAAGAGGTCCAGTGGTATAAAGTCACAAGATCTAGGCGGCCATTTTGCCCCGCTGTTTTGTGAGATAATGCGTTCTCTGTACTTCGTTCGCAATAGGGATATCCTCTCATGCCCCGTACGATAAGTGGCACTGTCCCGGGGAAACCATATATTGTCCAAGTCCAGGTGAGATGACTCCGCCAGCCGTAAAACCCCATCAAACAGTAACTCGTTGTGAGAGCATAATTTTTACCATTCAAACGCGTATTGAGCGCAAAAACATGCTTCTAAAATCAAATATGCATCTCTAGAAATAAAAACAATCACATCCGACTTGGACTCCAGGAAATTTAATTGACATTTCGATTAATAGAACTTAATTGTTACGAGTATAGTAGTCTAAAAGTTAGTCGAAAGCTGCCTACTATTCAAATATCAAAAACCGGTTAATAAATACACAGTAAAAAGTTAAATAGTTGTGAATTTTTTTACCAGGTGGTTGCGATTGAACCATATCTTTGATTTAATCGCCTTTGTAAAAAGATTTTTTGTAGTGTATCTCAAGAGGAAGTTCAAAGCATATATTGAAATATGTGTAAGCGGTTTGCCGGGCGTCAACAGTGCCGTGTAGAGTCAAGGAGATTCATTGCCAAGGGAGTATGCTCGCATTCGAATACACTGCAAGAAATGCATGTTATTTATTGTTATTTAATAACAAAATAGAAAAACTCCTAATTAAAATAATATGGTAGCAAATTAGGAAAAATTAGTAATTTCATAGAAAATTTAGGATGTTTTATAATTTTTTTGCTGCAAAAATGCTCTCAAATTATACAAAGTAAATTAATTTTGATTGTAGTTAAAGGAAAAGCTCAAAATACTGAGTGAATTGTGGTATATTCAGAGTGGCAATAAAGTTAATTGCAGTTTTTTTGACAGATATTCCATTGAAAATTATGTCAAGAAGCTGATGATTTCGAATACTAGATTTTTTATTCAAACTGGACACAAAGCATTAAATATACGGTTTATTTAGGTATTTATGCTTACACGGGGAGTCCTTAAAATATATACATACATCTAAGTTTAATATGGCGCACCCCTTGATTTTGTTCTGAAAATGTCGAGATTTGTAAGAAAATTTTATGGGTGTGACCGCGAGGAAAAATTCTGATGAGGAGATATAGTGATCTCCGAAATAACAGCTATAACTTCTACCATTTATAAACTATTGTTGTTTTTCCACAATAATTTTTCATATAAAACGGCCTTATGCTCAATAAAAAATTTTTAATATGATTTATTAGGCAAAAATAAAATAAAAATAAAGAAAGTAAATTAAAAGAATATTAAAAAATTGAAAAAATTATAAAAAATTAGGCAAAAGAAAATGAAAGAAAAAAATAACTAAAAAATTAAAGAAATACAAAAGATAACAAAAAATAATTATAAATAAAAAAAAAATCATTTTTCCTCAAACCCAAAAAATTATGTCACAATAAGATTTTATTTTAAAATTTCAACAAAATCATTGTAAACTATTAATGAGATTTAAATGAAAAATGTGGGCGCAGGTAACAGACTTGAATTAATATGAAAATTATATTATATACATAGATATTTAGTACGTGGGTATATGAATGACCCAATCCCGATTTTTTTACAAATTATTTACATCAATCGCTTGAATATTGAATGAAAGACTTATTGTTAATTAAATGTAATGAACTTGTTAGTGAATTATGTACATAAGTATTCTATTGCACGCGCTCCACGTTTTTCATTTTAAATCTCATAAATTGTTTATAATGGCTTTTGCTAAAATTTTAAAATCAAAACTTATCGAGAAAAATTCGATGTGTCTATAAAAAATTATTTTCTACTTTTTAGTCCATTTATTGACAGGTGGTATATTGAAAACTTTTTTATTTGATTTTTTTCGTAATGAGTTTTGATAAATTTCCTTTTATTACTAACATCAATTTATGAACACATTCATCAATAACAATTTAATTGGATTACTTCATTAAACGAGTATAAGAAAAATTTTAAGAAGATTATTTTTTAAGTGTATTGAAAACGTTCAAATGCCAAGTAATTATCGTCCCCAATGAAGAACTGTCGCTGAGAAGATGGCTGAATGCGTGCATACATAAATACATTTACACCAAACATTATATATTTATTGAGAAAATTGTTCGCGCCACTCATCTTTATTCCCCCTGCGAAAATCAAATCTAATTCTAGTTTAGTTAGCCCATTTGACCGGTTTTTTTTTTGTGCTGTGGCTTTTTGTGTTTTTTTTTTTTGTTGGTTTTTTTACCTGTGGCTTCGCTGTTCGCTATTCGCACTTCAAATATGTACATCCACGCAAACGCCGCACGACATTCACAAACCAAGCCTCAACCGTGGTACTCGCAGGCCCAGCTGCGCGCAATAAACGAAATAACGAAAAATATTTCAAATCCAAAATTTTTGAATTTTTTGGCAAATACCAAAATAAATTTAGCCGGCGAAAAATAACCGTAATTTTGGGAAATATTCTCCCGCTTTGTGGACAGCAATCAGATTACTAACATACTACATATAAACATACATAGATTGGTGGTGTTCCATCACACTCAGTGCTGCCAGGATGGCCGCCACTCGACAATTGACTTTGGGCTGTGGATTCGTTGTGCTGTTGCTTGCTGTTTGTCAACCAAAGGGTAAATATTGTATTTTTATACAAATTTGTGTTGGGTGTATGACAGGTTGTTGCTATTTTTGTTGTGTTATTGTTGTTGCTTGTGCTGCGCATTCGGTGTTGGAGAAAGTGTTGGCCAATGTAGTGAAGGCGTGTGTAGGTGTTTCTGACAGATGTTAGAAATCTTATTTTCTCGCTTGACATAGTTAGCTTGTTGCGCTATGAAATCTAATAAATATTTAGTCGTATTTGCCATATTCATCAGAATTTCGATTGATTTTTTAATTTTTAACAGTTCATAAGTTTTTGCTTCGACAGATTAATAGAGCAGAAAGTTTGACTAGGGAAACAACAGAATTTATACGTACTTATATTCTTTTAAACCAGCTATTTGGACATACAGCTCAAAAACGGGGGAAGATTATAAATTCATCGGAATATTTTTTTGTTAAGTATATTACCGGATAACTCTGGACCACGTGAATCGGTTTCGATACTTTCGAGGTGATTCCGCTCATTGAATCATGAAAAAATAAATTTTTATATGAGAACTTAAGCCCATTTTGTTTTTTTTCTTCATTTTAGTTACGAAGCATATCTAGTGTATTTTTTTTTTATTTTTTCAAGTTACTTTTTTAAAGTAATTAACAAATCTTTGTCTCATAAAATTTCGACACTTCAGTAGGTAAAGATTTCAGCGGTTTGCATACTTTTCTAAACTTCAGTGAAACCCCTAGATTGTGCGTACGTGACTAAAGCATTAAATTATTCAAAATCAAGTGAAAGTATCATACATTAAGAGCAATCCGCTGTTTAAATATCACCAAAAAAGGAAAAATTTCCCCAAAATTTTAAGATAATGAGGCGTAATTGAATTGAATTTGAAATTTTTGTATAGAAAATGATATCAAACTTTCATAATTGCCGATCCGTACGAAAACAAGAATACGCCCTAATGTGTTCATTAGAAGTTTATCGAAAAATAAATAAAATTTTTCATGATTTGCTTTATTAGTTTCTGACAACAAAAATTAGCATTTTCTTCCGAATTAAAAATTCTCCTAACAAAGAAATATCAGCAACTAATAAACGAAAAAATATAGCAAAATTTAACCGAATTTCTTTTGATAATTAGCATAATCAATAAACAAGTTCAAGCAAATTGGACTGGTTTAAAACTCGTGTTAGAATTGATATACAGATACATACAGCTGCGAACAAAATAATAGCAACAAAATTCAAAATGATGTTGTTGGCAAATTTTGTTTATTTATTTATTGTTAATAATTTTCATTTAAAATATGGGTCGAATACCGCATGAACAAAATTTTTGTTTATATGGAAGAAAGTGCGCAACACCCCTCACAAAAAAACAAACTCACAAACTTATCTGTTTTTCAACCAACTTGTAATTGTTCTGTTGATAATTGCACTGGTCTTTGGACAAAAGATGTAAAGAACAGCATTCATATTTCTGGGCTGTATTTAGGCCGTTGGTTCCAAATATACTAATCTGTTTTTCATATAAGCTATACTTTGCGAATTTTTTTTTTAATTTTTGAACAATTTCGGGAGCTATAATACAAAAACCTTTATTTTCCATTACCGTGCAAAAATTTCATTTATGCATATGAATATGGAAACACTGAGCCAGCACAACTAGCACAAACACTAATTAATACAAAAATTCCAATTAAATGCAGTTCACAGGAATTTTTGAACGATTTTTATCATATTATTTTCATAAAGTAAGTCTCGCCATCAGTTTGGTAACTATTATTTACGTACACATCGAGTAATATTTGTGAAGGTTATGTCGCTAAAAAGAGATGCATCTCTGTCTTTTTTCAACAAAATGTTCTCATTCGTGGACATAATGGCATTAACAACAATATTTACATACATCTAAATATGTGCTTACTGCACGCCTCTACTTTCGTATAGCGGTAAATTTGGAAACCGCGAAAAATGTGTTTCTTCGGTGACCATTCCGCTCCAATTTTCAAGAATAAATAAATGGACTTGAAATTGGCGTTGCTCACCTAAATTTTATTTAATTAATATAGTACTTATGTATGTGCTTGAAACTATTAATAACTTATCAAACGAAGGCCAAAGTTTAATTTTCCAAATCCATAAATTTTTAATCAATTGCGCTGGTCACAGATATGTTTAGAATTAATCCTTAAGGCAATACAATATTGCTATAACTTATTATTTTTTTTATTATTTTAATTTAATCTGCAATTTAAATTTATTTTATAATATTTAATTTAATAGATTTGAAATTGTTCTTGAATTTACTGAGCTTATTTTATTTAGTAGACTATTTATATTATTATATTTTATTTTTGTTTATTTTGTTTTATCTGATTTTGTTTTATTTTATTTTTTTAATTATTATATATTACTTAAATTTACTTTATTTTACTCCACGTTATTTTACGCTACTTATTTTACTTTACTTTATTTTATTTATGTCATTTTTCTTTATTTAATTTAATTTTATCCAAAAATTTTTAGTTAATTTAAAATGTTCAGTTTTTTATTTATTTTCGTATGGTTACCTTTATTTATTTATTGAATTGAATTTTATTTAATTCTAAAGGTTTTAAAAAATTTAAATATATTCAATTTCCTAATTTTTTTAAGGTGTTTTATTTTACTTCATTTTATTTTATTTTGCAATTTAATTTAATTTTATTCAAGAAACTTTAAGTTAGTGTAATTTTATTTAGTAAATTGAATTTTACTTTACTCTGCAGATTTTATTTTATTTATCTTCTTTTAAATTTTTTTATTTGGTTTATTTTTGTTTGATTCAAGAAATGTTTTTTTGCCATGTATTATTATTTTTATTAAATTTTAAATAATTTTATTCTAGAGTTTTTATACCCGAGCGCACTTGTGCACAAGGGTATTATAACTTTGTTCACATAACGGTTGTTTGTAACAGGCAAAACGAATCGAGATAGATATAGACAAATGTATACATAAATGATCAGGATGAAAAGAGAAATCGATTAAGCGGTGACTGTCTGTCCGTCCGTCCGTCCGTCCGTCCGTCCGTCCGTCCGTCTGTCCGTCTGTGCACACGATAACTCGAGTAAAAATTGAGATATCTTAACGAAACTTGGTACGTGAACTTCTTTTGGGCGTAGGACGGATGGTATTGAAAATGGGCGAAATCGGACAATAACCACGCCTACCTCCCATATAACGGTAATTTTCAGAAATACGAAAACTGCGATATTTTAGTAACTACTGAAGATTATTCACTCAAAATTGATATTTACAATAAGTTTTAGACGAAAAATAAGAATATTATAAATTTTTGGAAAATGGGCGTAGCCACGCCCACTTATGGTTACATGTGTATATCTTGGTAACCGCTGCACCAATTTCTTCCAAACTTGGCACAGTTGTTGGCCTTGGTACAGCATACTAAATGGCTGAAAATTTAAAAAATCGGACAATAACCACGCCTACCTCCCATATAACGGTAATTTTCAGAAATACGAAAACTGCGATATTTTAGTAACTACTGAAGATAATTCACTCAAAATTGATATTTACAATGAGTTTTAGACGAAAAATAAGAATATTATAAAATTTTGGAAAATGGGCGTAGCCACGCCCACTTATGGTTACATGTGTATATCTTGGCAATCGCTGGACCGATTTCTTCCAAACTTGGCACAGTTATTGTGCTTGCCACATAAAAGCACAACGTTCAAAAAAGCAGAACGTTCAAAATTATTGAAATCGGACTAAAATTACGGCTTTTCATATAACGGTAAATTTTAGAAATGCTCGAAACGTCAATATTTCGAAATTTAAGGACGCTAATTTATTCAAAATTGATACACCCCGGCTTACCATGTAGCGGTAGCTTTCGGAAAGGTGAAAAGGCATATATGTAATACTTGCGCCGGGTATTTAGTGTTCGGCCCCGCCCGAACTTAGACTTTCTTACTTGTTAATTACATAATTTAAGTTAATTTAATTTTTTTACATTTTAAATTCATTTTGTTTTACACCATTTTTTACGTTTAGTTCAATTAAATTTTATTTCTTATTTAATTCAATAGTTTAAAATAATTAATTTAGTTTTATTTTTATTTTTTGTTATTTTACCATATTTTATTTAATTTTAATTAAACTTTATTTAGTTTTATTCTACAATTTCTATTTAATTTAAAATACTATTTTTTAATTTTTTAACTCATCTTATTGCTTTATTTTATTTTATTTTATTTGATTTAAGAAATTTTTAGTTAATTACATTTTTTTAAAATTAATATTATTGTATTCTGGAATTTTTGATTTGTTAAAAAAAATCGAATTTTTACATTTATTTTATTTCATTATTCTTTAGTTTTTATTTTTTATCTTTTATTTATTTAAAAATTGTTTTTTTTTTTTATATGGTAATGCGTCAAATAGTACTTTGTCTCACCAACAACAATTACACTCAGCACAACACAGATTACTGTCTTATCAATTTTCTTTCACTTTGCACCAGTCACTAAGTTGTACACACGTTGTTAAAATCGTATTTACAGCAACGGATGCACAGTTCTTCTATCCTCAGCAACAGTTCTTCAACCCCCAGCAAAGGTTCGTGCAGCAACCGCATCGCTTTACCCGCCAAGGCTCCGTTTCGCGCGCCAACAGCAACGCTTTTGAAAGGGAATTCGATCTTGGTCCAATCGGTCTTGAGGAGGGTGTGACCAATTCACGCGCTGTCACCCGACAAAATGGCGGCCAACGTAACGGTGGTGTAACTAGCGTAGCCCAGAGCAATGCCATCAATCGCGAACTGAATCTGGGCGGACTAGACATCGGCAGCACACTCACACGCACCCAGACACGCACCAATGGCGCTGTGTCACGCGGCGTTGCTCAAGAATTCAATGTCGGTAACCTGGGATTTGGTGGCTCATTGTCGCGCGATAATCTACGCAGAGGTTTTGGTTTGGCACGTGACCCCAACGGTGGAACTGATTTGAATTTGGGTCCGCTAAGCTTGAACTTAGATCGCCTTTCTCCACAGAATAATCAAGCGGCTTCAACTCAGGCGCAAGTGAATGCACAGGGCCAAGGTGCACGTGCACGTGCCAATAGCGACTCAAACCAGCAATCTCGCCAGTTCGGTGGCTTGCGCATCACCGATACATCTTCACGTTCGAACGCATTCGGTCGCGTCAGAAATGGACAAACTTCAGCTAATACTGGCGGCTTTGCTGGTGGTGCTAACACTATTGCCAATTCATTTGGTTTCCCTTTCTTACGTAGACGCCGTGGCGTTAATCGTCGTGCGACAGCTGCATTCACACAACAACGCTCCGCGCGGCCCAAACGACGCGCACAGTTTATTCCCTTTGGATATCCAAACCAGGCTTTCCAACAGCAACAGCGGCGCCCACCTTATCCCCAACCAGGTGCCTTCTTTTTTCCCAGTGATAGCAATGCCCAGTCTCAAGGCGTAGCCGAAAACAAAGGAGATCGCTTTGATCAGCAAGCCGGCTCCAACTCGCACTCAAATCAACACGTAACCAAAGACGGCGCCTCGCAAGACAATGGTGCCTCCGGTATTGGCTCAAATATAGCCAAAGATGGCTCGAGCGGTCAGGTGAGCTCTGCTAATGCAAATAATCAAAATATGCAAACTAAGGACGGCAGTTCCAGTTCCAATGACGCGCAAAGTCAGTCACTCAACTTTGATTCCAACCAGCAGCAGGCATCATCGGCCAACGCTGGTACGACACACACTCGCAACAAAGATGGCGAAAACATTAGTTCGCATGGCAACTCACAGTCAACGAACAACAATCAATTTGGCTCATCGAGTAACACAGCCAACAGCAAAACGAATGTTGTGCGTAATGGTAATTCAGAAAGCGTTACAGCCGATTCAAACAGTCAGTCGATCTTCCAGGGCGCCAACGGTCAGAATGCTGGCGCTTCCACGAACTCCAATGTAAATTCACAACGTGGACCCGATGGTTCAGTGAGCAACTCTGCGTCCAGTAATGCCTCGGCTAGTAGCCAAGGTGGTGGTAATACGAATGCATCAGCTTCCTCCTCGGCTGGTAGTGCTGGCAATAATGCGTTTACCAATGCAAATGCCAATGCTGGTGGTTTCAATAATAACTTTGCTGGATTCGGTGGTTTTGGTGGTTTTAACAATTTCGGCGGTTTTGCTGGTAGGCCGCAAAATAACAGACGTGCCCAAGGTGGATGGTTCCGATGAAACAGGGAAGTAAGAAACTGACAAAAGAGAGTTTGTTTCAATTATGCTGAACTTTTTTTAGATTATGAATAAACTAATTTATATGTATGCATGTATGTTAATGTTTTATGTTGTTGCATATAAAGTTGTGATTGTTGTTTATACAGCTGCACTGTGTTTTGGGTATCACATGCACATTTGTCATCTACAAAAATTTCAAAGGGATCCGGGTTGACTGTGATTTTCATTTTTCGTTTTAAAAACATTGAGCCTAACTTCGTAGTTACTAAAGATGCAGAGTTGTGGAAATAGCCATAAAATAAACAAAAACATCCCTTATGATACTTCCCCCTTTTAACGCAGTCTCATAAAAAATTATGCTTTGTGTGCCCATCCAGAAAAAATTATTTCCAGAAGACTTGAGTATGACTAAAATTACCGCCAGTACCCAAACTACATTTTTTACTACATTTTCGGCAATGGACCATCATAGGAGGACGGTACTCCTTAGCCATAAAGTGTCCGCCGTCCTCCCCAAAGAGCAAAAAGTCCTATTCAAAAGCAAAACAATCCCTTTTAATATTTTTAACCGGCTTCAAAAAAAGGAGGAATGTTATTAATTCATGGATTATTTCATTTTATTATTTGTATGTATGTTTCCGGATAACCTTGGACGACGTGAACCGTTTTTTGTCGGTAAGGTCGGACATCAAGGGCGGTTCCGCACTAATTTGGTTTAGTTTCGATCATTTGATCGTGAAGAGATTAACGGTACTCCTAAAGTTGTTCATGAGCATTGAAGTCGGTTTTATTTTTTTGCTTAAAAATTACTTTTTATTTCTTCTTTTTAATTGTGTGGGTGTGAAGTTCATAAATTTCTTTCCAAAATAGAAGATTCCAATAGGCATAAACTGCAGTTAAGGCTTGGTGGAAATCAACTATTACATATTACCCGAAAGAACCATTTCTGCCCTTTACTTTTTAAAAATATTTTCATTCAAATGTTGGCCGCAGACATGTGACGAGCGCAGCCGCACCTTTGTAACGACATTTTTGTTGCCTGAAATAGAACCCCGTGATGTCGGCAGCATTTGGTTTCAGCAAGTTATCGTGCGATATCACAGCTCTGAATTTTTTTATTTGAGGTTACGTGAAGCTAAAATTCTTCGTCGATAGTGGGTTACAGAATATTTTACAAGCCTTCACGCGTTGATCTCTTTGAAATATTTTCGACCTGTACCTTGGCCAAAACTTGATTAATGTTGATTCTGAGGTGCTCCAGAGTTTAAAATTTATTCGCATAAATGCGGCCATTTGAGTAGCCTCATAAAAAGCCCAACGGTGCCGAGTCGGATGATCGCGGTGGCCAAGAGACAACGCCTGCCTCTATGCCATAAGACAGTACCAATTTCAGAGAACGACGAGCAATCGACAAATTCGTTTCTTCGGGCACACTACGATTTGAAATACCATAGTCTGTATGTTTAGTTCTGCAACTAAAATAAGTTGGGTAATTTCTTGTTGAATTTGATAATTTTGGTGGTTTTTGGTAACAAAAAAAATAAAAATTCTCTGTGGCAACACTTTTTGGCACTTGAGCAAAATCGAATTGGCCAACCTGTTGCCCACTTACAGGCGCTTCACAGGTGAAACCATCCCCAGCACTGCACTTTAAATTGTAGCGCACTTTTAGGCGCAGTATAAAGCTTCTGTATATGTCCGCTTTTACAGAAATGGAACGCCATTGGCCCTACATTTACAATAAAAAACAGGTGCTAAGAGAACAATGGCAAAGCCAAAGCAATGCGCGTATACAAACATATCAACAGCAGCAACAACCACAAGCAATGCCCCAAACGCCCTACACCCCGCAACAATTGCAGCAAATGCGACGACAACAAGAAATGTTGGCCACAGAAGTCACCGACTTACGAAAACCAATCTACTATAATAACAACAATAACAACATTCCACCGCCGCAGCAACAACCACAGCAAAACCAAGTGCCCACACAATTCACCAGCAGACAGCCAATCTTCCACAACTACAACACTAACAATGGTCACAGAGTGCCGCAGACGCAAGTACAACAACAAGCACAGCCACCGCTTGGCAGTGGAAATACATTTATCTATCGGCCAGCGCCACCGCCTTCATCGACGCAGGTAAACAATACGAATACGGAGCAATTCGAACGGATCGATCCATCGCAACGTAGCGCCCGCACTTTCGGTTTCATCAGTGATTTGTTTGCGCCATCATGCGTCAATCCCTGTACCACCGACGCCTACAATCAGAACCGTTGTTGCATTGTGATGGTTAACCCTCCGCCACCAGTTTGCTGCCAGTATGCGCCTCCTGCTGCACCGCCACCAATCGCGCCGCTACCACCTCAGCTGGCGCCGGTGTTGCCACCCAGACCGCCAATCAACTGCTGCAATACCTGCAGATATGGTTTTTATGGCCCGCCGCCCTGCTACTATTTCGGCCAGGGAGGTATTGGTGGTTTGTTTGGCGGAGGCGGTATATTTGGTAGTAGGCCAGGCGGCTTGTATATCGGTGGGGGTGTGGGTAATTTAGGTTATGGTGGCTTAGGTTTTGGCTCATCGTATTTTGGTTAGCTCATTTTGACATTTTTAGTTAAGTTATTAAGTGATTTGTGTAGATTCTGTGTAAAATAAAAAATGTTATTTAACAAAAAAAAAAAATAAATTAATCTTAATCTTAAAATTAAATTAAATCAAAACAAATATTTCCCCTTTTAAAACAATAAAATATTTGATTCAAAAAGAAAAATTATTAAATCTTAATCTTAAAATTAAATTAAATCAAAACAAATATTTTTCTTTTAAAACAATAAATTTTCTAAATTAAAAAAAAATACATTAAATAAATAAAATTAAAAAAAATTATTCAACAATTTTATTGAGCTTGAGGCCGTTTCTAATGAAAAAAATTTTGGGGAAATTAAAAAACGCAAAAAAAAATAAGATTCTCCATGAAAAATTAAATTTGAAAAGTATTTTTTTTAACAATGAATTAAAGAAAGAAAAAATGTGACATTAAAAAAGGCTAAGAAAAATAATAAAATAAATTTTAATAAATTGATAGAAAATTTAATAAAATAAAACATTTTAAATTGAAAAAGATAAAATACATAAAATAGTTTTCTGAAAATTGATTTGATTTAAAAAGAAATATGTTTTTCTTATAAAAAAATAAAATCTTAACATTAAAATAAATTTTGAGTAAACTACGAAAACTTAAAAAAAAGGATTCGACCTCGGATCTCTCGAATGGCACGCCAGTGCTTTGCTTACTTGGACATTGCCACTGCTGAAGCAGCGCGAGCATGCTCAAGTACTTTCAGTCAAAAGAACTTTTCATCATGAAAGTTAACAAGGAAGCCTTTCTTGTAACAAATCTGTGTTTTAATCACAGATTATGAAGTTAAGCCCGAAAATTAGTATAATCTCTACATATGTCAACGTTCTTTTAGCGAGATTCTCCCTATAAGTCTATCGTGATAACACTCAGGAAGATCGCAATAATAATCTTAAGTTCACACTACCTAATATATAGACTTCTAAGAATTTATCCAAAAACCGGGAGGTATATATGTATGTATATCAATTTAGCATCACGTTACCATTGTTATCGAAGTATAACTTTTTTCTTCATCTATCCATCCATGGCCCCACTTCGAGAAAGCAATTGTCAAAATTTTTTGTAATTAGATAATGAAATCAATTTATGTGAGCTTTTGTATTTCAACACATCATCTCGCATCCGCTCTTAAAACACTTTTATCACTGCTACCTTTGACCTGAATTCTAAAAATTTCAGACACTTTGACTGCGTAGTGAACTCAATGCAGAAAACAAAAACAAACGTATTAGATGCTTTAACAGAGATTATAACTATAGCGCCTACTCATCTTTTTCAAGTAATTTTACCACCCACTTTTTGGAAAAGACACGCTAACACAGTTATAAAATCGCGTACAAGGACAAATATGTACATAGAGTCCTTATCGCCAAGTTGCTGCCATGCGTCAGCCAAGGCCATCAAGCAATGGAAAAACACTGCGAATTCATGGAATGCATAAGCAAACTATGCGATATCAGCGTTTAAGCGCCATTGTTCCGCGCTCAAATTGAACAGATTACAGGGACAGCAGCAGCAACATTAACATAGAGAAAAATGCAAAAATAATATCACAGAAACAAATGGTTGCGAGACTAAGCAGAGAGAAAAGAAAATACAAGCATTTCTGAAAGCTGCGCTGCGTCGCTGCTGATAAGACATGTCCTACCGGAGACACATTAAGTGGTTTAAAAGGAAAGGTCTGCATCAGTGGGAAAACGTTCAAAAGCAAAACACTCCAAAAATATTTACAAAACATTTTTCTTCTGTTAACTTTATTCCTTACAATTTCCTTTTATTTTTCAGTCTAAGTAGTCATCTAGCATATAGTATATGTATACATACATGTTTGTACATATGTACACCTCTTAGGCATGGTAGCGACGTTCGATGTGCCTCACACGTTGTAGTCCACCTTTGCGCACACCACGCACTACTTGCGGCGCATCCTTGGCCGCATAGAGGAACAAAGGAATCTCCTCAACTCCGGTTTGTATTTGAGATGTACGCACAACGCTTGGTCGTATCAACTCATCGGCTGCCAAACGACGCACCGACTGTACGTCCGCTGTCGCAATCTTAGTCCTATCGACGGACGCATTGTCCAATAATTGATCTACATCATCCTCTTTTACATTCAATGGCTCATCTTCTGTGTTAGGCTGTTCATTGACCACTGCAAGTGGTTTATCTTCCACATCGGTTTCAGCTGCACCCTCTTCAGCTTGATTTAGCAGGGATTCTATGCTCTCCAAATTGGCCAGACCGCTCAAATCGAGTTGTTGATGCAATGCGCTAGGTATGGCAATGGCTTGTACGTCGCGATGTCCGGAGATGCCATTTGGTGTTGGAATAAATTGTACATCGGCGGGTATTTCGGATGCTGGGTAGACAGGCACTAATTCGGCTTCGTTTTCATCACTTGATCTCAGTAAAATCAAGGAAATAGGCACAATCGTTTTGAACTTCAATAAAACCAATTTCTTAAGAGCCAAAGTGGCGCCAGGGAAGACACGCGCCTGTTTAGGTGAAAGTGCCTGCTCGGTATTGGGGTGTGGTCGGCGACCGGCTACACTGGCGTAAACGGGCAAAACGTTCTCCTCATCGTCAACTTGGACATTGTGATTGCGGCTACGTGGCGCATGGCGAGCTGTGGAGGGGAAAAGAAAGTAAACAAGCAACAAAATATTTACATATGTATGTACAGTGACGAACAACAGTATTGGCATAGTGAATTTTTCGCAATATATGCAAAGTTTTAAATTCTTATTTCTTTGCGATATTTTTTTTTTGTAAAAATATGGTTCATACTACACCAAAAATCAAATCCCCAAACTTTGTGCAAATTACAAAATTTTCGCTTACAAGGTTTGAAAAATTTGCTTTTTTTAATCACATAAATTCTGCAACATTTTTACCAGCTTTAACTCAGCGAGTTTATGAATTTATTTGAATAACCTTCAATATTACATACGTCAAATTTATTAGTTTTCAAGTCAAAATTACATCTAGCCTGCACAATTAAAAAAGTGAATTTTTTTAAACTTTGGTAGCGACTTAATTAATTTTTTAATTTTCGTGGATATCTTTATTTTGTACAATGAACAAAAGAAGGGATGCCTCGTACAAAATTTAGCTGTTGATATTTTTAAGGACCACCCTAATGAATGTGCTTAACTCTAGTATGATCTTAGCAGGTTTCGTAGCACTTATTTCGTTGGTTATTAAGCTTGAGCTGTCTTACATCTAAAAAAGTAATAGATTTATGCTGCCACTGAGAAGATAGGTTTTCCTTACTGGTCAACTTAAGGAGGGAAGTATTGCGGATAAATATCTGAGCTTCATCCCAATAAGAGTAATAATAGTTTGCTCTTTCTCTACATTTTCAATTTAGTTTAGTCCAATAACAAACATTCTGTTTGGATCACCCCGTATATGCCTTTATGCTTCCCAATTTATTGTACATATATATTTTGAACTCACCTTGCGCAAGACAGGCCAACGCCAACACGAGAAATGCAACACTCAACATTGATTTGGAAAACATTTTTTACCTTAAGAAATTAGTTATGTATTTCTGGCTAAATTACTGCGAACCGGGAAGCCGCTATTTGTTATGTTTCTTCTTTAAGGCGCTGCTACTAAATGCTTGAGGACACAAATACCGATAGACTTTTTATATGCACACAAAATAGAATCGAAGTAGAGAAAAAAACAAAAAAATAAATGTCTGTCTTTAGCGGCACGGAGTTGGGTTCTAAGCGCGATTAAATGCAAATTAACATTTAGAAAAATTCCCTAAAATAAATAAATAGATATAATAAAATATAGAGAAAATCGAAAAAATTATCAGAGCTGACAAGAGGAAAGCATTTATTAACATAATAGACAATCCGAAATGACTTTGTCTCGCCAGTTGCTCTGTATGTTTGATTTTTGCACGTACATAGACAGGTGGTGTATGGGAAGAAAGCAAACACATTGCGAAATCTGAAAAATAAATAATAATTAGATTTTAATAGGGTATAAAAAAATATGAGAATGCAAAAGTGTGCTAATTTTTATATAAGCAGCTGCGCTGATTTATGTGGCAGTTTAATCAACGATAAACTTACAAATGATAATGATACTTACATTCAGGGTTGCCACTTTGGTAAATTGTTATGAAAATTGATAGAAAAAATTTGGTTTGGTAAAAAGGTAAATTTTTTCTAATTTTTGTCGAACTTTTCATTATCGCTTTATTTTTCGTAGTTATATTTTTATTAAAAATTTCTTTGCACACTATTTACATAGGTATAAATGTATTCCGATATAAGGCGAACATATCGTGCTCCATTCAAAACTCATTTTACTAAAATCCCGAAGAGCTTTTGATTGCCTAAATATTTTAATTAATTATTTAAATAAAAATTAAAAATTGAAAGGTATGTAATTGCGCACTATGATTGTTCATAAAATTAAATCAACGCAATTTTTTATCAATGGAAATTGTTAAATAAAAAAAACACTAAAGACTGGCGGTAAAATAAATAAAAACAAAAAATCAACGGGAGTTTTTAGCTGCACATTGTTGGATATACTCAAATATTGTTGGCTATAAAACTCCATACCTTAAATTGTTCTAAAAATTCAGAGTAAAAAATTCTAAATTCAAACGAAATTTTTTTGAATTTTACCTACTATGCTTTTTATTAAAATAACTATAAAAAAGTTATTAGTAGATATTTTCCAGATTTGGTAGATTTTTTTTTTTTTTCAAATGGATAGTAAGTATTTTTTTCGTCAGTGGCAACCCTGCTTTCATTAATCATTATGTTGCGAATAAAATAAAAACCTCGTACAGCGGGCAATGAAGTGCCTACAGAATAACAGAGAATGGCAGTATTTATGTAGTAAATTTTTTGGACGTTGTCTAAAGTCGTTGACCAAGTTAACTTATTAAGGGACAAGACGGTCGTCCGTACAAATTACACTCGTGTGGCTAGTGATTGAGGTGACAAGCTGAAGAAATCAACAAAATAAGCAAATATTCTCCGTTAGCTGCAGACAGTTCCAGCTGTGGCGACAGCGCAACAGAAATATAAAAAAAACGTATTAATTGCTAGATTATTCCCACTAACTATGTGAAAAGTTGCGAAGTAATTTGAACACAGGCGATTTGCATTTAGGTCAAGAATTAACTTATGTAGATATGTTTTAAAATATATGCACCCATAAAATTTGTGAACCATAGGAGAAAATAAAGAGGTATCTAATAAAAATTCAGCGCTGAAAAATAACAAATGAATGACCCAAAACTGTAAAAATCTTGAATTAATTATGAGACTTTGGCATTAATATAAATTTATATTTCAACAGTCCTGTGCTAATACATACTTGTTTATTGTATCCAAAGAGAATGTATATTAACAGTAGAATCTCACCAAATTATAAAACTGCGTTTTGCGTACTGAAGCAAATAAGCCAAATGAACACCAACAAAAAGCTTTTAATGAGTTAAGGATCATTTACGCCCAGGACAATGACAAAACGCTTTTTAAGTAGCACGTGTTTCCTTCAAAAATTCATAGTTTGCAACTTTTTGCAGTAAACAAGCTTAATCGATAGAAAAATTTAAACTAAAGCGAACTGTGTGCTTTGAATAAAACGGTTTTGGAATTCGAAGCCACCATCACAAAAAATAGGTATCTCTATATTAAATCCACACGCAATCCACAATTATTCAGTAAAATTATTGCCTATTTCCTTTAAAAAATCAAATTAATTAATTTGCCAAAGATTTTAATAGTATGCTCAGATATCTATCTGTCTATATATATAATACGCGAAGGGATTTGAATAACTCAGTGAGAGGGAAGACCAGTATGTTTGCATGTATTCATAAAAAAAAAATTATTGGATCAAAAATGGTGCGTAGGCACTTTGGCCAATGGTGAGCTATAGGAACAATGTTTGGAGGATGCATCAGACTAGGCCAAGCATACTTTGAACTGCCATCAAATTATAACTTAAGAAAGTTTTATTACATGGCAGTTGAGAAGTGCATGTTCGAAAATTGCATTGATTTAATGAAGGAAATTTTTGCACATGCAGCAGTACATAGCATCATTTAGGCGCTCGGTGTTAGCAGTCGCGCCTAAACAGGATATTTGGTCCACGTCATCAGATCTGCACCGTTTTTTCGATTTTCAAAAAGGAGGTGTCAAATTAAATGCCTCAGACCTGTAGATGTCCAATAGGGCTTTACTTTTTCGAAAAGAGTTGTCACCTTTTAAAAAATGAAGTTCAAAATATTGAAAAAGTTAAATAAATTATTACAAAATGGATATCAATCGAAATGGTTTTAAAAATATTTGTTTCTTAACTTCAGTGTGCGAGGAGTGTCACCTGTTTACAAAATTAAATTCAATTTCAACTAAAGAAATTAGTTAATAGAAATAAATACCCCCTTTAAGACTTTAAGAAGGTAAAAGTTTGTAAAAATTTTGAAGAGGGTTGCCACCTGTTTGAAAACAGGCGAATTTAATAAACTTATACACAGCGAAATATGTATTTAAATTTGTAAAACAAAAGAGTGTTAGGAAATCTTTTAACACTAAGAGTATTTTTTAGGTGTTTAAAGAGAGTAGCCACCCGTTTAAAAAATTTAGCTTAAATTCTTTAATAAGGTAAATGAATTATTAAAATATTGGTGTCAATCGCAATGGGTTTGACAAGGCTTTGTTCCTGAACTCTATTTGGAGCACTGCCACATGTTCAAACGTTAAATTTTAGTCAAATAAAGTGCAAGTGTGTAGTTGCTAAAAATTCCGCTGATTTTTAACAATTCCATAAAAAAAAATATCAAAAAAGATTAACGCTGGCCAGCTTTAAAGCACATTCACCCGGAGATGTAAACTTTTTTGACTATTGCTTGATATTTTGAATATTGTGATGACTCCATGTTTCGTTCACGATTAAAAAATTACGCGAAAACAAATTGGATGGATTTTATAGAAGTTCAAAGAGTCACTGGCTTATCAAAGACGTAGGAAGTACACATAATAGAAAAATATAAAAAAATATTTGGCGCTTACTCTCATGTTGAGTGTTTGCCCCAGCTTCTACTCCAATTTGTGGTGAATGCTCTGACGTTTATAACACAAAAAGGAAGGATTTATAATTTTACGCCGCCGCCGAATGGCAAATGGTTTAATGAGAAGCTTTTTAATTGCAGAAATACACTCACAGGTTTTCATTGTCGGCCGAGGGGCGACAGGCAGTTATAAAAAACTTTCTAATTTTAGATGTTGCTCGTACCAGCGATTGAACCCAGGTCCTACGTAGATCTAATTACTCGGTTAAAGGGGTTAGGTATTTAAAAAACCGGGCTCTAGAATTATGGGATTATAAAATATCAACTGCTGGGTAGACTTTGTTATAATCTTATGATATATGACATATCTACTTTCCAAGCGAGGTGTGGCATCAGTTCTTTTATTATTTAAAGCTATTAGTAAATTACATACATACATGCCATTAGTAAACTTAAATGCTTCCTAAGGTATAGGAGGTCCTACGCCCTTTTCTCTTAACTCGCACTTTTATCTGTCACCACGAGTACTTCTCGAGATATCCTGCATGAAAATCCAGAGATATGCACTTTGAAAAGTTTTGTGTATGTGGGAGGTGTAACGCCCTATTTTGCATCAAATCCAATTTTTCTCCATGGAATTGATTTCATAATTCTTCAAGAGATATGGAAATTATAATTTGTTTGGAAGGTACCACGCCCCATCGATCTATAGAAAATATTTTTAACCTACGACCATCCTTGAAAAAATTAATAAAAAAACTAATTGCATTAATTGGAGGTAAATCATACGAATCGATTTATGTAAAAAAATCTACTTAATTTTTTTTTAGTTGTGCCTCTTTTGCAGCTGGTGCGCGATATGTACAAGCATAATTTGTGTTTTAAATGTGTCTTCAGATACACGCATCCTAACAAAGATTCGTTCTCTGCTAAACTCAAGTACTAAGTACCGAATTTGATTTATTTTTTCTGCAGAAAAAAATTTACGCAGTCATATAAATTTTCATAAGGTATTTGCCAACGATTTTCATTACATTTCCGGCCATATATTTATTAGCTTTTGATGATATTAAGGCAACAATGGAAAGTTAAAGAAGTGTAATTAGTAATAAAACTGCCAAAACGCGATGGCAAAATGATAGACGGTGGAGGGTATGTACATTTTCGCGATGTCGATGATGGTTGTGTGCTTGTTGAACAGTATTCAATAGTACCACTCAATTTTTATAGCGTCTTTTACAATACCAAATATGTATGTATGCCTAATTATACATTAAATTTTAGAGGTATACTAAAGATAAAACTTTCTATATAACTATGCATATTAAGTGGTTAGTTTATATACTTAGAAATTTCATTTGATTTATAAAGAAGTTGAAAGCAGTTGAAAAGTGAATAGTACATATAAGGAATAACGAATAGGAGAAATTACGCTCGAAAACAAAGCAAACATTTTTCTGAATTCACTT